ATCCTCCATGGACACCCCATCTTCGTCCGACGACGACCCATCCTGCCGCAAAGGGCGCTTATGACCCGTCTTCTCCATGGGGCCCTTCCCCTTCGGGCCACCCTTGTTCTTCCTCGATGGCATCCTACGAATAAAGAGAGTAAAATGGCAATGAGAGCCCGCTCGACACACCCAGCGCAAACTCCTAATCACCTATCTACTCCCTCCAGAATGTAACATGCTCATCGCACCAAAGGAACATAGAATCAAAGAGTCGGAAAAAACACGGTGCCAACATAGCCTCCACCTCATCCTGATATAATCATAGTATCCCCAAGTAGGAACAGACCCCTCTTCGACTTATAGAATCAAAGAGTTGAAACAGACCACCCAGAGAATCATAGAATCAAAGAGTTGGAACAGCCCCCTCTTAGAATCGTAGAGTCAAAGAGTTGGAATCACCCCGTTATAAGAGGCCAGAGCAACTGAACATAGAATCAAAGAGTTGGAAAAAACACGGTATGGTCACAGCCTCACAGAGTTGAACAGACCCCTCTTAGAATCCCACTCCCAGAATCATAGAATCAAAGAGTTGGAACCGCCCCCTTCTTAGAATCATATAATCAAAGAGTTGGAATCACCCCGGTATAAGAGGCCAGAGCATGGTCCCACCCTAGTAACAGGAGAAGGTGACACAGTCCCCGTACCCCGCACGGCGGTGTAGGATCAAAGAGTTAAAAGAGATACTATTCAGCCAGCCCCCTGTCCTCCCAACAAGGTCATTAATGCTCCGTAGTTCCAACGCGTGAAGAATAACTGTGGGGAGGGGGTAAATAATTAGCCCTAAGCTGGCTACCTTAACCCCCCCATTAGTCCCAAATGTGTGTTGAAAGCATGGGAGGGGGGGGGGGGGTGATTGACTTCGTACTGTCACATGGGAAACACAATGGGTGAAACAACTCATGCACACATAACCCCCCCAAAACCCGTAGCTGAGAAGCACTAACGTAAATAAATAAATATTATTGCGTGCAAAAGCACTCAATACCCTGCCATGAACGAACAGCAGCCATACAATGGCCAAAGGAAAATGTGGCGACCAATGCCATTGTTTAAATGGCGGCGGCTGACAAAAAGCCGAATAAAATGGCGGCTTCGGCCATCGCCAGGCCCCCGCCCCCGTAACAGACCAAAAATGGCGGCTATTCCCGCCAAATCCCCAAACCGCGCCACCGCCATCTCCCTGGCCTCAGGCCCCAAACTAATCAGCGTCACGGACGCTGACAAAATGGCGGCCGCAACCCTACGGCCCCAAGATGGCGGCCGTTGCCACCAACAAAATCAAAATGGCGCTAAATTTTTAAAAGGCGCCAGCAGCGTCAGTCGTCCGGGGCATTAGGGCCACCGACATTTTTTGCCCCCTTAGCCAGGCGCGCCGCGCGCCCTTGCAACGGCGCCATGGAGCACTAGCCGTGCAGCCCTGGAGGCAACTACAACGGCGGGGGCGCGCGCCCAGCCTCCCATGGTCCTTCTCGAAGGGCCCAAAGCCGAAAAATAAAAGAGGACGGCGGCCGAAGCAGCTGCTCCGCGCGCCGCTCGCCTCGCGGCCCCAGCCACCTGAAAGGTAAAAAATCGGCGAGGGAAACAGCGTCTGCCGTTCCCTCGCCCTCTTCCTCTCCGTGCAAAGCTCCATGCCTGCTCCCCTAAGGGAGGAGGAGGAGCGGCCTCCTCCCTAGAGAGCTCCGAGACCGACCTGGAGCTCAGTTACCCACGTCTGTCCTTGCGAAAGGTCTAAAAAGACTGAGGGGCAGAGGCTGGCTCACGTGGTTAGCCAGCCCCCGCCCCTTTTTCCAGGAGGTTCTAAATGGAACCTCCCATTCTCTTTCTTCGGGGGGTGGGGCAAATTGCTCTCCCCACCAACTTCGTTGGTGTGGAGAGTCCCCTCTTAATGTATTTTTGAATACATCTTAAATTGGTGTAAGGATTTTAACTGTTCTTTTGAAATTGATGTTTAATTCTATTTTAATGTTTGTATATCTTTGGGTCTTAAATCGTATTGAAATGCTTTTATTATAAGTCACTTTGAGTTTCCTTTGTGGAGGGAAAATGGGATATAAATAACAACAAGAACAACAAGAATGAATTTTTAAGTTGCCATTTTATCAGTTTGCAACAGAAAATAAATATGCTTTTAGTTTTGATTGGGTACAGGGAGCACACCACTCCACTGTTACTCGAACTCCACTGGCTGCCGATTAGCTTCCGAGCACAATTCAAAGTGCTGGTGTTAACCTATAAAGCCCTAAACGACTCCAGCCCTGTTTACCTCTCCGAACGTATCCTCCCCTATGAACAATCAAGACCACTAAGATCGTCTGGAGGAGCCCTGCTCTCGGTCCCACCGCCTGCACAAGCACGGCTGGTGGGGACGAGGGACAGGGCCTTCTCGATGGTGGCCCCTCGACTTTGGAACTCCCTGCCATTAGAGATCAGAACTGCCCCCTCCCTCATGACGTTCAGGAAACTAACAAAGACCTGGTTGTGGAACGCGGCATTTGACAACTGATTTAATTCTTTGCCCACATGAAAGGAGGATGATGAATGGGATTGTGATGGTGTCGAACGATTTGGCTCTTTTAACTGGGATGATAATGTTTTAATGTGTATGGTGCTGATATTTTAATCGTGTAATGAAGTGGCATTGTGTTGTTATTGTATATTCTTTGTATGTTAACACATGTTGTGAACCGGTCCGAATCCCTCTTTGAAGGTGAGAGGGTCAGTATATAAAACCTCGAAATATATAAATAAATACATTTTCAAAGGATTAATTTGATTTTAATCTGAATATCTCTCAGAAGGACAGAAAAATGTTGTTAAAAGCCTCTCCGAGTTCAAGAACCTACATCCCTTTTCGTTTTGATAAAACAATATTATTACTTTCTCCCAAATGGGAAATGATTTTCATTGAATAGAAATCACATCTCAACGCAATTATTGCTCTTGGGGGACTTCATGGTATTTTAAAAATAAAATTGGATGGTGTAGTTTTGTTCAGAATAGGTATGAATATACGAATATAATATGACTGAAAGAACTTTTTGGAATATTCTCTTCTCAATTGAAGACACAGGTACACAGGTAAGGCAAAGATTTTTCAACTGGCCTTTTAGAGATCATGTAACAATGATCCTTCTAGGATCTATATGTGAGTAAATTGATTAAACTAATGTTTTTCAAGGGACAGTATTGAGCTTTTGAAGTAGAATGGTCATTCTTCCAGTACGTTTCTATGCAATTCTCACACACATGAATGCACATTCACAAACACATATTTTCTCTCTCAACCATGGACATCTCTTATATGGGTTTCCTTTTACTTATTTTGATGCAAGTGTTTTCACAGCATTCCATATTATGGAAATGTACTATTTGAAAATATTGTTTTTCCTAACATTATTTCATCTTGTCGGGAGGATGGATAGCTGCAATGAAAAAGTCTATGTGTTGGATAGAAGGTTTAAGAGTTATGAAAAGATCCCTAACTTTTCATATAATCATAGATTTGGAAGGGACCTTATGGTTCATCAGGTTTAACCTCATGCCTAATTAAGGATTTCCTTGTGTTTTTTATCCATGTCTCTTATCATCCTTCCTCTGAATCTGTTCCAACATACCTATATTCTAAATGAAGCACCCAGAACTGAACACAGACCTTATTTGGATGCCTGACAGATGCAAAAAATTGTGGGACTATTATTTATTTATTTATTTATTTACGGCATTTATATGCCGCCCTTCTCACCCCGAAGGGGACTCAGAGCAGCTTACAATATATTTTTTCATACAATATATTATATTATTAGCATAGTACAATATCAGTATATATTACTATATTGCACTATACCATTATATTGTAATATTATTAGTAATATTACATGTAATGTAAATATATAAATATAATTATAATATTGAATTATTATTACTAGTATTATATTGTATTACATTATAATATTATAAATATTATATGTATATACAATATACTATATTATATTATTAGTAAAGACAAGATGGAAATGTCTTCTGCTCCCTTCTGTCTTCGCTCTGGCCAGAGCAGCCGTTGGTGCCAGAAGGGCTTCCTTTGGCTTAGAAATTATGCTTCTATTAATTCAGACTAAGATAAGAATTGCAGCAAGATCACACTTCTGGCACATATTCCATTTAGGATCAACAATAATCCCCATTTCTTTTCACATGTAGTATATCTGAAGCAAGCACCCTCCCTCAACCCCATCCTCCACATGTGCATTAGGATTATGTGTCCTAAATGTGGAATTTTGCACTGGTCTTATTTTATTTATTTCAGTCAACTTACCTAGTTTATTAAGGTCTTTTTGAATTCTGATCTTATTTTCCAATGTATTAGCTACCCATTCCAGTTTGCTAGGGTTGTGCGAAATGGCAGAAATCCATTTTCAAGTGCCCCCCTCTCCCATTCTGTTTTCAAGAAGATTATGGGAGATTAGGAGGGGGCTGTTCAGATTTGCAATTCGGGATCTGGAGTTCTGTTTCAGGAATAATCTTCCCGAAAACAGAACATGGGGGAGGGGGGGCAGAGCCAAAAACAGAGCAAAAACAGAATGGATTTCTGCCATTTCGCATATCTGTAGTTTGTATCATCTGTAAATTTGATAAGACAATCACCTGCAAATATGACAGTGATTTAGATTGTATTTAATTTCAGAAAGATATTGGTGTGCTTCCAATTTGACTACTATCCAGTTCTGACTTCAGGATTTGTTCAATAAAGGAAGTTAGTCAACATGGTCTATATAAATTTCCATAGGGCACTCCTTGTATGCCCATTGTAAAGATGCCCCCTTTCCCCAAGTCCTCACACATTTTTTTCCCTCTCAGACAAAGAGGAAAAAAATTCCAAAATTTTTTTTGGCTGATCCTACCCTTAAGACAACTTTTCATAAGCACAGGGTTCTTGTTTTTCTTTTCATAAACAGATTATAATGATACCAAATACTGCATGCTTAAACGAAACTGGTATCTCGGAATTCATCATCCTGGGATTTGGAACACTGAAGGATTTGCATTTGCTGTTTTTCCTCTTTTTTCTGGTGATTTATATGACTACCATGGTTGGAAACCTCACCATTATTCTCCTCGTGGTGTCCAGTCAGCATCTCCACACACCAATGTACTTTTTCCTGGGAAATCTATCTTGCATGGAGACATTTTACAGCTCAACTATCCTACCTAGGATGCTGGTTAGTTTGCTAACTGGGGACAGGACCATTTCCGTTACTGGCTGTGTGGTGCAGCTCTACTTTTTTGGATTCCTTGTGTGTACAGAGTGTTACCTTCTGGCAGTGATGTCTTATGATCGATATCTAGCAATTTGTCAACCACTGCATTATGGAACCCTAATGAATGACAAATTTTCTATTCAGCTTGCAGCTGGCTCTTGGATAAGTGCATTTTTACCAATTAGCATCATCATAATCTTAATGTCTTCTTTACTTTACTGTGGCTCTAATGAAATTGACCACTTCTTTTGTGATTTCCCTTCAGTTATAAAACTTGCACATAGTGACACTCAGTTGATTCGGGTTTTAGCTGTCATACTCTCTTCCTTTGATATTTTCCCCCCATTTATTTTAACGCTGACATCATATTTTTATATTATTGTCACAATTATTAGGATCCCATCCACTACTGGAAAGAAGAAGGCATTTTCTACTTGCTCATCTCACCTCATGGTGGTTACAATATTTTATGGCACCTTAATCGTTGTATATGTTTTACCCAAAGGTGATGCTCATGGAGATCTGCACAAAATATTTTCCCTCTTTTATACTGTTTTGACTCCCATGATCAATCCTCTCATCTACAGCCTAAGAAATCAAGAGGTCAAAGAGACTCTGAAAAGAGGTATTAATAAATGGGCAATTTTAAAGACAGAGAGAATGGGATCCAAAAAGTGAAATTTAGTAATTTTGAGCTGAATTAGGGAACATTTGCCATGTTAGGGAGAAGGCTGCAGGTATCAAGGTGGCATGAACATCTGAAGAGTTATAAACAGAAAGGATATGAATATAAAATGTGTGCATTTATAATGAAAATTTATAACAGATGTAATCATGAAAACAATATGTTGTCAAAATTAACACTACACAATCCACAAGAAGCCAGAAATGTTTTGCTAGCAGTCCACAACAGTGGCCAATATAAATATGAAGTTCTTGAATATTTCTTCCAAACAAAAAGTAACCCCCCTCCCCACCCACGGAACTGATCTCTGCAGTTTAATTTATCCACATCTGACAAAATTGATCCTAAAGGTAAGGTAAAAGTTTTCCCCTGACATTAAGCCTAGTCATATCCGATTCTGGGGGTGGTGCTCATTTCCATTCCTAAGCTGAAGAGCCGGTGTTGTCCGTAGATGCCTCCAAGGTCATGTGGTCTGCATGATAGCACGGAGTGACATTACCTTCCTACTCACATTTGCAAGTTTTCAAACTGCTTGTTTGGTAGAAGCTGGAGCTAACAGTGGGAGCTCAGCCTGCTCCCCGGATCTGAACTGCCATTCTTTCCGTCAAGCTAGGCATTTTTTAAAAGTTCCTCCTAATTAAGTTTATAGTATTATTGGGTCCTTCTTTTTAAATAGTTTATTATTATTCATAATTATCCATATCCACACAAATCCCCATGAATATGCAAGTTGATTGAGACCATCTGGGAGAAGAATGTAGAAGATATGAGCTGGAGGGAAGCTATGCATTATTTCATGGCTCAGGTGTTGACCTGAACCAAAGGAAAATTTGGTATACTTAAAGATTTGCTGAAGGTGCCACCTTAGGCACCCATAAACCTACAACTAGAAAACAACCGACTGCTTAAAACTAGGATAGCTGCATGAATAGTGTCCACATAAATGTCACATTGTCAAAGCTTAATGTTATCATTGTAAACTTGTCCAAAAGTTGGCTCATGTTTAAAATGGTTCTGCAAATATCTAGTTATAGATTTCACCAAAGCCCTAGCTTTGTAGACTAAGAACAGCACCTGCATTTTTGTTTATATTAATGTTTTTTTTATTTCAGTTGTTATGTTCATTGTAAAGAGTACACACGTTTTTTGTACTGGTGATGATAGCTGTAACTGTGGGGAATATATTCAAATAATTATCATTAGATATAAATTGAATTAAAATGATTTCTGCACTCCTCAGCATAGCCTTTCCTGCTATTGTTTGCTATTATATAGTAGGCTTGGGTAACCACGGAAAAATTTGGTTTTAAACTCGTTTTGTTTTTAGGGGGCCCTTGCGTTTCGTTTTTTTAAATAATTCCGAAATTTTCCTTTAAAAAATTTCGAAATTTACAAAATTTCGTAAAATCATGAATCGATTTGTTAATGGCGGACGAGATTGCATAATATGCTAAAAAATCCTCCAAATGGGACAGGAGGAACTTCTGAAACTTCCCTCTCCCTCTGTTGTTGACTGTTGGTGTGATAAAACAAACAACAACTATAAAACTTGCACCAGACATGCGAAAATAATTACGAAATAATTTCGAAATAATTACGAAATAATTACGAAATAAATTGAAAAATTTGTTTCGAATCTTAATTACTCCTCACACTATTCCTTCATGGCTCAATATTGGATCGTAAGCTAATTTAAATACGAATTAATAACGAATTACAAAATTAACGAACGAAACCGCCCAAGCCTATTATATAGGTGTCCTGGAATATGGACCAAGAAATGTTTAACCAGAGAAATCCCCCCATCTTTATCCTTTTGGATTTTAACAATTATAAACTATGTACATTGTTTTTTGGGTTATTCCTATCCATCTACATTGTTACTGGAAATGCCCTAATTATTATTCCAACAGCTCTTAATCTACATTTTAATCCACCCATGTATTTCTTATTGGGAAAATTGGCTTTCCTAGAGACTTGCTACAGCTCAGCCATCATGCCATGGTTACTAATCTTTTGAGTGGGAACAAAAATCACATCTTAAGGTTGTTTTGCACAATTGTATTTCTTTGGGTTATTTGCTAGTGCAGAATGTTACTTCCGTGCAGTGATGGCATATGATCGTTATTTAGCAATATGCAAACCTCTCCATTATGGCTCATTTGGCTCATGAATGCCAAAATCTGCAATGTCCTGATTGCAGGATCATGGTTCACTAGCTATTATTCTCATAATTTTGTTGGTATCTCAGCTACATTTTTGTGGACTCAACAAAATTTTACCGTGATAAGACTGCTCCACAAAGATACTCTAGTAGTTGAAATAGCAGCCTTTTTAGACTCCTTTTCAGTCACTTTGTTTCCACTTCTAATAACCCTGGACTCTTACATTTGCATCATCAAGACCATTTCAGAAATGCCACCCACCATTTTCTCTATATTCTAGAGTCTATATTGTTTACTGTACTGGTAAATCCTCTTCTATATCTCACGAGTTTAATCTGGAAGACAAGCCCTCCTAAAAACTATTTGACAAGATTTCAAACTACTTGCAGGTCCATTCTAGATAAATCACCCAGGGTAAATAGTTATTATGCGATTTATATTTTCCATCTCTCTAACTTAGTCTGAACCAAGTAAATTCAGCTTTTACTGGGTGTTAATGGCCTCACCTACACTGGCCAGTTATTCCTGAGATAGTCTGAAACAGAAATTCTCCAGATTGGCCTTGAATCTACAGATTGATATCTAGCCAATCTAGCTGGGCCCAAACAACATCAGCTGCCCACTTTGCCACCTATGTGGCCTTAGTTCTTCAATATGGCCACAAGCTTCATGTGAACTCCTGGTCTCTGCAGGCACTCCTTGCTCACATCAGTCGAGGTGTTCTTACAACCCGGAAAGCTCGGGGGGGGGGTTATCATATTTAAAATCATCTATGATAGTGCGAGCCACGTGGAAGGTAAGTGATTACTCAAGGTGGCAATCTATTGTGTGGACTGTAGACTGGTCAAATTCAATATGCTCCTTCTATCCACACTGCACCAAAACCATGAGATTGTTAAAACTTCAGGCAAAGTCTGTAGTATTTCCCTACATGTTAATCTGGTTTAATGTCAGGTTAAACCAGATTAACCTGTTTTATCCCATGATTCCTACCAAAAGTGGAAGATCAAACACACACTGAGCAGATTAGTCTCATATAGATGAGCCTATTGAGGTGGTTTAGGCTTTTTGTTTTTTGTTTTTTGTTTTTGTTTTTTTACAGCTAGTGCTATGTCCTCTATTCTCAAGGTCTCCAGGTCAAAATTCACGATTAGTAATCAAATAATCAAGTGCTACAAACACACATACACTAAAACTAAAGTTGAAAAATTAATATTTATTTACATTTATTTATTTAGTTTCAAAAGCATTGCATAAATAAGTACAAAACTGATAAAATACAGGGAGCGCAAGCAGCTAAATAATTTTAGACCAAAAAGAGTCAACAGCAACCACATTGCTTGTAGCTTTAAACAGTTCTTCCTCAGTGCATGAGGCAGGGCATATGGGCAAACATACAAATTCTGAGTTGTTTGTTCTGCTCCACAATCACACAAGGTGGAGGATTCTGGTGTGCCATTTTGTCAGGTTATCTTTTGATCTGCCCACTCCACTTCTGAGTCTATTCAGGGACTTCCAAGTTGCTCATTCTTGGTTTACCACTGAAGTAAGATCCTCATAGGGGGCCATCCAGTTGAAATGCCTGATTTTGTCTGCCCATAGGGATATTCTTTCAGTACATAAAGGAACATTAAGAGGAGTGGTAGTTCTCATGAAACTGTTCATTGATTTAAGTCTACTGGGAGTAGGCTGATAGCTATACAGTGAGTGGCTTTCACAGGGTTCTACCTTATTTTACTTGCAGTTGACAGCAACATCCCAATTACAGCATTTATTTACATTATAGAATATGAGACAGGGCATGTACAATTGACACAACTATAAAATAAACAGATTACAGACCCATTCAAGAATCTATTAATCAGGCAAGAAAAAGTCATAATTATCACCCTCATCTCCCAGCTCTTGTGCTTTCCAAATGCATGAATATGGACTTCCTAGCAAAGCAAAGTCTGAGTATGCAGTATTTGCACAAACAAAATGGTGGATCCAGTAAGACAGGAACAAAGAAGCTCTGTACAAGATTATAAGACAAAGAATTGGCCAAGAAGCACATTTAATCACTTGTGAACCTTATGTACCCAACCTTTCTAGCATCTTAGCATACTTTTTCCAATCATGTTGACAGGATCACGATCACAACAAGTATACATAACATTCGAAGGCCCTGAAGATTGCTGATTATACTGGGGGTTTTTTTCCATGTCAGGTGTGGCTTGACAAACTGCAAGTTGCTTCTGGTGTGAGAAAATTAACCGTCTGCAAGGATGTTGCCCAGGGGACGCCCGGATGTTTTGATGTTTTACCATCCTTGTGGGAGGCTTCTCTCATGTCCCTGCATGGGAAGCTGGAGCTGACAGAGGGAGCTCATCCATGCTCTCCCCGGATTCGAACCTGCAACCTGTCAGTCTCCAGTCCTGCCGGCACAAGGGTTTAACCCATTGCACCACTGAGGGCTCCTTTTCAGTGTTATTATACTTTTATTATACTGATTAAGAACCTGGTAAGTATGTATATGCTGGACCCACATTTTCTATTTATTTATTATCTACTCAACAATGAAAAAGTTTGTTTTTTTCTAAAAGCAATGGGTTCCTTTTGAAAATGAAAGAGTGGCATTATCTTCTTTCACCAGAAAGGAAGTTAATTTATTATATGTGGCAAGACAAAAGAGCTGCATATTTGCTTCACACTTAAAGGTCAGAATCAAGGAAGACAGGGAAAGTTCAGGAAACGCTGTTATGCTCTCAGAAGCTTAAGGAGGTGGCAAGATGGCATGAGTAGCAGACGAAGTTCTTATATAAATATATTGTCTTTTTCTGTGTGATCATTAATTTGTATAAGATTGAAAGTACAAGAACAATTTCTCTCCTTCAGACTATTTTTGTCTTTCAAGAGCATGTACATAGATGTTGGAGTTGGTTGGAATAAACACACACAATTGAGGCAACAACTTGAATTCAGTCTCATGATAGTTTCATATTTATTTCTACACTGGGAAAAGAAACATTACATCTTTGAAAGCATTTTTACAAACAACAACAATAATAAAGCAAAAAGACCCCCCTTCCCATTACAGTTTATGATGCTATTGAAACATATAATACTAAGGGGAAATTATGTGTATATTAGATCATAATTTATACAATATTTAGTCAATTAAATAATAATTTTATACACTACAGGTATATAGATATAATATCAAGGTAATAATACAGAACATCTCAGTACAGTGAAAGATGTATTCCCCAAAATGAACATATTTGGAGAAAAATCATTGAGAACATATTTACATTTCTATAGTTTTGTCATTAGAGAGATGCGTGTAAAAAGGCAAACAAATTGAAAAATGTCTATGTCCTTATATCAGGAGAAAAGCAGGCAAAAATAAATAAACACATAAAATTAAAATATAGAAAAATAAGAGGGTTTTTTTGGAGAGAAAAAAGAGAAGCATATGCAAGTTGAATAACCTGAAAAAAAGATGTGGAAAGAAGGCAGTGGAGAGAAATAGATTACTAGATGTTCTGACTTGGTTCTATTTCCCTTAAAGAAATAAAGTAATGTTCTGACTTGTCTTGGTGTGTTCTTACAATGGCTCAGTTGCCGCAACTTTCAAAATACATGTTTTGTATTTATAAGCCTTCTCAAAGCTTCCCGCACTTCCCTGTTCCTTAAGCTATAAATAAGGGGATTAATCATGGGAGTCACAATAGTGTAGAAAATGGAAAAGATCTTGCTTGTATCTATAGAATGTTTTGCAGAAGGAACCACATACATTGTAATTAGTGTTCCATAAAAAGTTGTAACTACAATGAGATGAGAGGAGCAAGTAGAAATAGCCCTTTTAGAGCCAATACCAGAAGATTGTTTAAGAACAGCTGAGAGTATATAAGCATAAGATATTATAGTGAATATAAATGGGATCAAAGTTAAACTTGATGAAAGGATGAAGGAAGTCTTTTCAAAGAGATAGGCATCTGAACAAACAAGCTTCAGCAGTGGAGAAAAATCACAAAAGAAATGATTTATTTCATTGGGGCCACAGAAGGATAAGTGAGTCATAAGCAGCAGTGTAATCAGGGTTATTAGAAAACCAGAGATCCAAGAGCCAGTTGCTAGTAAAAAACACATCTTATCATTCATTATATTTGCATAATGAAGAGGGTTGCATATGGCAATATAACGGTCAAAAGACATCACTGATAGGAGGAGACATTCAGTACCACCCAGTGACCCAAAGAAATAAAACTGGACCATGCAGCTAATGAATGAAATGGATTTGTCATCAGAGATCAAACCTACCAACATCCTGGGAACTATATTAGATGTATATACAATCTCAAGGAAGGAAAGATTCCCTAGGAAGAAATACATTGGGGTGTGCAGGCTGCGATCCACTGACACAGTGATCAAAAGTAATGAATTTGCAACAAGAGTAACTAAATAGAAACTCAGAAACGTAGCAAACAAGAAATTTTGCATTTCAGGGATATCTGAAAACCCTAGTAAAATAAATTCAGCAACTGGTGTCCCATTGCTTGGAACTAGGAATGCCATTTGACTTCAGTCTAGCAGAAACAAGAAGAACAATAAATAACAAATCTTTTTTATGCACAATACAACATTCAGTCCTGTGAAATCAGTCAACTTTACTGCCAGAAAACATTGCAAAAAGAAACACACTGAATTCCATTGGCAGAATGAGGCCTTTCCATCAAAGTTTTGAAGCTGAGGTTTCTGATAAGCCAGTCCTGAAGATTTGGGGTATTTCCAGAACAGCATTTGACATAGTACTGGGTTGGAAGAGAAATGACAGGAATCAGATTTCATTCCTGACCTTACTGGAAATGCAACTAGATCAGTTCAATAGCAATCAATATTCTGGTATGGATTACCATCTGAACTTTTTTTGGGTTAAAACCGGAGATGAGAATGTGAACATGCACACGTGTACAATATTTCTAAACACCTATAAATAAACTTAATGATCCGAATACAAATATCTGCAGAGTTGGAAACTCAGTAATTTCATGGGATCTCCGAATCTACATTCATCTGACTACAACAGCAAAGCTTTCTACACTGCTGTTTGATGCAGTTTGAAATTGCATTATATAGTCAGTAAAGACTCATATAATGCAGTTCAGTGTGGTTAAACCATAGAATCCAGTTTCAACCTGTATTATATGGCAGTGTAGATGACACCTAACTTACATCCAAGTCTAACTGTGCTTAAAGAAAGTTTGACTGGAGGATATGGGCCATCACATCCCCAGTTTTGGTCTTACATGTTTTCAGGAAAATACTTCAACATGCCTAATCTATAAAACATACCATTAATTTAAGGAGTCACCTGTGACATCAAATAACCATTAAACTTAAAGAAATAACAGGCTTGGGGGAAACCCAGGGGTTTCAGAAGTACATAAGTGTTTTAAAGAGAACCGATCACACACATTAACACACACATTAAGCATGCTGTGGCATTGTGATGTATAGAAATTAGAAGATGGAAACATGGGCAGGAATGGAAAGCAGTTTGTTGAAAGAAAGCATGTGTTATTCCACACACTGCGATAAGTCTAACAAGCCGATAATATAAGATAAAATTTGCTGTTTGACCAAAAAAGACCACCAACAACAACAAAAGGAATTCTGTGTTGAAGTAGAGAGGAAATGATGAATTGAAACACAAAACAGGGGCATACTTGTTCTTCTTAATTTTGTTTATATTTAAGCCATGCTGAAATGGTTGAGTCTTTCAAAACCCATGAAAGTACCCGTTCTTACACTGTGTTTTCAATTATGTGGACTCGTCGGCCAATATATGTGTGCAGGAGATGGTAATACTCACATTGTCTTCTTTATTCCATATAAGGTTAAATAGAGTGGCATTATTGGTACTCTTGCAAAGACTCTTTCAGAAGCTGTTATATTAGTTTTAAAACCAGGTGTTTCACACTTTGCCTTTTAAAAGTTTGATATACTAGTGTATCATCTCCCTTGCTGACTTGTATCAAGGGATGATTAGTTAGCTGTGCTGAAAAATTGATAATTTTTCCTGTCTCTTTGAATTTAATAGACTTCAAAAATAACAAGGTTATTATTGGATTATAACTGCTACAAGTTCCTGCCTCCAGGGAGCAGGGATCTTGATAATGTCATATGTTGGCATTTATGTGTGTTCTTTAAAAAAATATACACTTTGATATTTCTTAGGAACATAGAAAGCTGCATTATATTGTGTTAAGTCATTGATTGTCTAGACCAGTGGTGTTCACAATAACTAATAGGAACTGTGCATGGTCTTAGAAGGGAGGTTTCCATTTTCCACATCTCCTTTGATCCAGGATATCGGGGTCTGGACATACGTAAAGGATGCATTCCTCTTTCCCCTAAAATCCTAACCTTGCTATTGAAGCACCACCTAATTCTCAGTATCATAATCTAAGGGCTTTTCTACATGAGCATTAAAAACCAGACAAACCCCGAGTTGGCTCCTGACTAACTTCATTGCATTACTCCTCCTCCAATTAAGATCACAGGTTCTGCTTCAGGAAAATTCAGGGGATGGTCAAAGTGTACATAAAATTCTTTGGCATGTAGTGATTTAGGAGCAATGTGAATAACTGGATCTGGCTCATTTTGGACCAGTTCACTGTTCACATAAGGTACCATAATATTTTTCCTTATCAGTTTGAGGGACAGAGGATGGATCACTCTTGTGATACCTCCATTGTCATTCACAACTGGCTGTAGAATTCACTTGGGCACACCAGCCTCACATCAACAGAGGCACTCGATGACCAGAAAGAAAGTGAAAAGATTGGGTCCCTTTTTCCTCTTGGTCACTCAGATGCCACTGTTGATTTTGGAATAGGTCATCCACAGCAGCCAGGAGCTGACAGGGAGCTTTATAGTCGGCAGGGTCTGTAGCAGCCCACAGTAGATTTGGAAATGTGTAGATTTGGGAGCATTTTTACTCTGCACTGGTCCAGAATTTATCAGCTAGTGTAGACATAGCTTAATTAAAACATGAAAGAACATGGACTGTAGGGGAGGGGACTGAGTCCAGCTGACACTTCCATAGGCATGTAGGGAATGAACCTTGTCTCTAGTTTCACAGTTTACATTTTAACCATTAGACCACAATGGATCTTCCAAAACAATTCCACTTAGTCCCAAACACTGGTAACTGGATTAAATACCAATACAAGAAAAGAATGTGAGAGGGTCAGAATAATATGGCATCCAGTGGGCATGTGGCAGACTCTGATTGGTTTACTTTCCTTCATATGGGAAAAAAGTTACTGAACAACAATTGAATAACAAGATCTGACACAGAGAACTGGATTAAACAAGGGTACTTTATTTAACCTGAAATGTATTCAAGCCATGTTGCAATGAAAAGGAGCAAGAGGGAAGTTGTAAGATCAGCTGTCACCCTTGATTTCCTTCTCAGCCTCCCCTGGCAAAACATCTGAACCTTAAGGGCAATCCAATAACTGGAGTGCTCCCCACTGGTCATCTACTGGAAGGCAGACTCAAGACACTTTCCCAAAGTTACAGGATTTAAAGTGTGAGCAAGACCTCCAGGACCACACCTCCAGACTCCTTCTCCACAATAGGGTAACAGAACTTTGCCCTTCATTAAAAGAGTACCAAGGTATTCAGAAAAACTCTTATTTTATCTACTCCCATCACTTACCATGACTGCTTAAATCCAGTTTTTGAAGTCCCCTGGAATACAGTGTAAAGTAGGCAAATAAGCCATAACAGGTAAAAAAGAGACCAGTGACACTCACGCTGCCCTGGAGGATGTCCAAAGAGGCTGCATGGAGGTTGGGGCAGGGAGACAGATTTTAAGAACCTTCCACCTTGAGACACTATTTATCAACATTTAATTTTTTTAAAAAAAACACATTTTTGAAAAATTGTATGAAAATAAGTTTTTAACTCTCCTAAACTGACCCTAAGTAACAACAACTTTGCCATATTTTTCCAGGATAATTGCAGCCATCTTTGTGAAATGAGAATCTTCCAATTGGTGTGGAGGAGATGGTATTTGCATGAAATTGGCAAACATCAGACAGTTGACCCCAAAAAGGGAGACCTTAAAGTTCATAGAATATAGGTGTAACAGTTAAGCAATTCTGGTTTTTGAAATAACTTTAAGCTGCTTTGAAAAACAATGAAGACAAAGGAAGGGATAAAATTTTACTACAGAAGTAAAATCCTTAATCATAAAGGGACAGAGTCATTTTGAGTCACCTTTGTGGCAGGAAAAAATGGAGTATTAAATAAATAAATAAATAAATAAATAAATAAATAAATAAATAAGAAGTAACTGATAAAATTAATTGGAATGTAGCCCTTTCAGTGATCTCAGTTACCATCCTTCCAGGAAAGGGAGGGATCATACTTTGTTCTTCATCTGCCCTTCTTTTCTGAATCTTAACTCCACATGAAGCTTCCTCTGGTATCCAACTTCTATTACAGACAGTCCCCAAATTACAAACATCCAACTTACAAATGACTCATAGTTAAGAACAGGGGTGAGACAACAGAAAGTGAGGGGAATCTACCTCTAGGAAGTGAAATTCACTCATGAAAGATTTATTGTGGGGGAATGGTGTCTCAACTGAAGCTTTATTACCAATGCTTGTTTCTACAACAAGCCAAATGTTTAGAAATCAAATTATCACAGAGACAGGAAGTGAGGTGAAATCTTCTGAAAATGGGCCCAGACAGCAAAACAAACATTAGAGGGATATTGACCTTTCCCGTTGCTATCCAAAGCTTTAAAAGATCATTTTTTTGGAGTTACACTTAAAATGAGCTTTCCATACAAATTCATCTGAAGAACAAACCTACAGAGTGCGCCTTGTTTGTAACATGGGGACTGTCTGTATATGAGTCTTCAGTGAAAGCCTGCTTCACTTAGGAAATGACCTGAAAAGGTCAAATGGGGTCTGACTCAGCTTGGGCTTTGTCCAAATTGGGTACAAATTTTAACATCTAATCTGACTGAAGTTTTCTTTTTTTCCATTTACACAGAGCTTAAAATTATTTTTGATGTCTGCCTTTAAGTCATTACTAACTTCTGGTGGCACCAAGGTAAACCTATCATAGGGCTATATGGCAGTATAGATGGGGTTTCAGTGGCTAGAATCCTGTTGATGTCTTACTTAAGTACTGTATAAGTTGTTGTTGTTTTTTTTTTGCAGAAACATTCTACCTTTAAGGAGTGTCTACACAGGAGGTATCCTTGTGTATCTAGATGTGTGTGCAGAAATGGGATTGTGTGTGCTCATATACCTTCAGGTGTGTATTCAGTTGTGTAACTTAAACATTAAAGGCTGCATAGAGCAGTCAATTACTCATAAGATGAGATTTACACTACACAATCCCAGTGTAGGATTTCACGTAATATCCCACTGTAGAGCCTTGGAAGTGGCAGGTGGACAAAGAGGAGGAGGATTAGACGTTCATGATCTCTTTTTGCTAAAATTACTTTTAAATCATGAAGTTCTAAGCTGTAAGAACACTTTACATTTTCTTGACCTGAATGAACTGATTCTGTATGAAAATAAATTCTATTTGACAAATCAAACAGTTATCAGCAGCATTTTATTTCTAATTCCACCAGAAGCATTCCTAAATTGCTTTTATTGTTTTGAGGCCACATTTACAGTAAAAATGAATGTCTGAATAGTAACAGAAATAGCAATAGAAATGAAAGGATACAAATGTTTACTACCACTATACCTGTTTTTTGAAAAATTCTCAACACAGAGTTATTAAACATACACACATATATTCTGCTTTCCCACAAATTTTCTCAATGCTTCCTTTATATCTTTATTTCTTAGTGTATAGATTAATGGATTTAACATAGGAGTCACTATTCCATAGACGAGAGAAATGGACTTGTCTATCTCCATTGTGCTCTTAGTTTGGGGTTTAACATACGCAAATATAGCAGTACCAAAATATATCAACACAACTGTCAAGTGGGATGCACATGTAGAGAAAGCTTTGAACCTTCCATTTGTTGAGTGGATTCTCAGAATTGTCACAATAATCCTCAGATATGAGAAAAGGATAAAGGCAAAGGGGACAAGCAGTGAAAGGCATGAACTGAAAAACATAAGTAATTGGCTCAAACTGGTATCTGAGCATACAAGCTTAAGAACAGCAATGAGTTCACAAGCAAAATGATCAATCACACTTTTTCCACAAAAACGAGCTGGGATGGCATAAATGGGAATTACCCCCAAGAGCATGCTACATGTCCATATTCCAGTTGCCAGCTGGATACACAATCTTTTGCTCATAATTAGCATATAATGCAATGGACTGGAAATTGCTATGAATCGATCATAAGCCATAATGGCTAAGAGGAAACATTCAGTTATGCTCAGCCAGACTGAGCTGCTCATTTGAAGGTAACATCTTGCAAATGTCAAGGTGGGTTTGTCCACTAGCAGGTTTGTAATGGATTGTGGGATTACAGCTGATGAATGTCCAATGTCAATAAGGGACAGGTTACCGAGGAAAAAGTACATGGGGTTGTGAAGACGAGGATCAGCTGCAACTAACAGGATGATAAGACTATTTCCCACCACCGTTACACAATATGCAATTGTTAGGAAGACAATTAATCCAATCCTTATCTTTGGCCTACCGGCATATCCAATGAGGATAAATTCAGTGACCGCAGTCTCATTTTCACCTTCCATTTTCACAGTAGGCTGTTCTCTACAGTGGAAATACCAAAGGAATTATAAATCGCATCATAAAACTGAATATAACAGGGATATCACAAGAAAAGAATATAAAGAAATAGTAAAAAAAAAACCACAATGTGAAATCTAATCCAAATGAGAATAAAATGATAGAAATGCAGAAGAAACTGACAGTTAAAAGTGTTATGTGATAAATGAGAGCTATAATTTCATTTACTTATCTGCAACAATATAGATAAGTGCATATATATTTAATTGTTTGGGGAAACCATTTCAATATATTTACAAGGTTCTTGTGGGTTTTTTCGGGCTATAGGGCCATGTTCTAGAACATGGCCCTATAGCCCGAAAAAACCCACAAGAACCTAGTGATTCCAGCCATGAAAGCCTTCGACAATACAATATATTTACAGTCAGTAAAATGTTCGCTAAGAAAAAAGAAAAGGGATGAGAAATTGTCTATTTACCATATTTCTTTAATTCTAAGATACCATCAATTATAAGAAGCACACTAATTTCAGTACCACCAAGAGAAATATGTGTGTGTGTGTGTGTGTCTGTGCATGCACCTGCAATTCTAAGACATGCTCTGTTTTAGAAGATTTGTATGGAAAGAAAGTTTATCTTAGAATTGAAAAAGTACAGTATTCATCTTTGTCAATAACTTTAAAATAAAGGTATATGAATGGCAAATACCTTTAAATGTCTCCATCCTTGAGATATTGTAGAATTCATTCATCAGCAGCAACACTTTGAAGCAGTAAAGCTTTGTTTTTAATCTGGTAGATCAGGATCAACTGCACTGGCAAAGGCTGAACTGTAAAGGTTTATGAGAGCAGTGGTGCCACCATAAAATACAAAGGAAAAAATAAACAATGCGTTTCCAAATGGATGATTGAGCTAAAAATAGGATAGTGATCTGAAAATGTTGAGTACTGCTTTAACCTGATAAGATATAGATCTACATAGTAAAACTTTTGTATCAATAAAAAATCAACACATTTCAGATGCAATCATGCTAGTCAATGTAGAAGGCAGATTCAACGTCTTTTATTTTTCCAACATCAAAGCTAGTGAAAGCAAAAATCTAATAGTCTTTATTTTACAGTGTAGTCAGTCCAACACAAATGCAAATATTTTCTTTGCTACCAGAAATCTCCTTCAGCAAGTGAAAACTGTTCCCTCTTCAAATTGCTAATATGCCAACAGAACCATCACCTGGCTAGTTAAATTCTAAAAATCAAAAAAGAGACAAGAGAAGAGAAAGCTTGAGGAGCTAGACCACGCTTTCTTTAACCCAAAACTATGATGCCAACACAAATTTAGGCCAAAGTGAAGGCCATCCTCAGTAATTTCTAACAGCCCTAGTCTGTATTATTAGACTTTTGAACATCTTAATGATTTAGAACTGCATCTGTTACATGATTGGTTGGTGCTTTAAATCATATTCGTTCTCTGCAATCTAATTCACACATCATCCCAAAGGAATCCTTGGTTCAATGCCCTCAAGAAGATTCTGCAATGAAAAAAATACACATAGCTTAGTTTTTCAGGTGCAGGCTTAGAAGACAGGACATGGGCTACCACCTCTTTTCTCAAATGTCACAATTGTTGTGTTTCATGGCACATAAACGGAATCAGTTGCCTAACACAAGATACTCAATGCCTCCTTAGAAGAGTGACAGTTTCAGTCATCTTGACAGAGAGTATGTCTCTCTATACTGTAAACTTAATGCAATTTGGTACTACTTCAATTCTAGAGTTATCATGGGGGCTGTACTTTGGTGAGGCATGATACTATTTTCCATATATACAAATCCAAGGATTCTACAGCATTGAATCATGATAGCTAGTGCTGTCAAACTGCATTAATTTAACTGTGTAGATGAACCCCAAGTCTTGCACTGATAAAAGTTCTGGCTCCATGCATGGGCCAGACCCTGATCTGACACTGATTTAGGTGTCAGGTCTGGAAGTAATTATCAATTTCCTTATGTATAGGGAGTCAAAGAAATTTATTTATTTATTTATTTGGGGTTCTTTTACCCCGCCCTTCTCACCCCGAAGGGGACTCAGGGCGGCTTACAAAAGCAAGGCACAATTTGATGCCTGCATCATAAAACAATCATACACAAAATTACATCAATACACAGTTAAAGAAAGACTTAGTACTTTACATAATTCACCTACACCACCAAATCTCTGTCTGAAAGCCTTTCTTACCTGGATGCTAAGATGTAATTGACAATCTCATGGATATCCCTGTGCCCTACATTATGATCCCAGTGTTTTCAACCAATTGAAATAATTCCTTTCTTGGATAACAGTTAGAAATCCTAAGGTTGCCATCCTCCCACAGAATTAGTTCAGGTGAGCAATAAGTATCAATCTCTTCACTCTCAAAGATTGCATCCATGCTGCAGAATCATTTGACACCACATTGACCACCATAGCTCAGTGCTATGGAATCCTGGGTTGTTGTTTTTTTTTAAGGTGACGACCTCACCAGTTGAGGGCAAAATTGGCAACATGCACCGGTTTGCCTTCTCCTTTATGACAGAGCCCACTGGCTCCCATTACAAGATGCAGTGCAACCTCTGCCGGGTGAACCAGCGCATGCTGCGGCAACATGGGAGACTGGGATCAACATGGGGAAGCTGGGCAGTGGAATCCTCCCCTTGTGAGATGGGGATGTTGGTGAGTCGAGCAATGCGAGGCACGGGCAACAGCTTCCCCATGCTCCCGGACAAGCAGCATTCGAATTGCCATGATCCTTGTGTGAAGTGTGAAGAGGTCCTGAGTAAGATATTCGTCTTCTCTGTTATAAAGTTCTACTAATCCCAAGATGTTGTGTGTGGAGGTTGGTATTATCATCCAACTTTTGCAATATTCCAAAACCCTCCCCTTACTCATTATTTAGCTGGTGAATTTCAGTATCATTTCAGGTGTTGTCTTCAAATCAGCTATCAATTCATGGTGACTCCATGAATTTCATAGGGCTTTTAAAGAAAGAAATGCTAGAGATGTCAGTTCCTTTCCCTGAAATATAGCCGAGAGCATCTTGTATTCATCAGTTTTCTCCTCCCAGTATTAGCCAAGGGTGATTCAGCTTATTTTTCAAGAACAGATGGGATCTTTTGCAAACCATCTACAACAATTCTGTGGCTGGTGGCTGGTGGGGGTGGGATGAGGCAGGACTGGAGAAGTCTTTGACTATATCCTCATAGATAACTCTTTCCCCCCTGCCAGGGGAGCTACCAAGATCCAAGGACCCTGCCATCTGGATAAGGCTATAGAGGTCAGAGAACAAAACAGAAATTCTTGACCTAGATCTCAGTGACTCACTGGAGATGTAGAACAGTGGTCTCATTTTATTTTCCCCAGCTATATAACTGCAGCCACGATAAGCGTTGCTGCCTGATTCCCTCCCTGTTCATTAGGTAAGAGCTAAAGTATCACTTCCAGGGCTTACCAGATGTCTGAGAAAGCAGTTGAGTGTTAGACAAAGAATTAGAAAATGGGACCTAAGACAATGTCCCAAATACCCCAAGTTACCCATGTGTATGTCACTAACAGGATTCCAGCCTTTTTTTTCTCTCTCTCTCTCTTTTGCATTTTCTCAAGTTGTTCCTGACATGAAAAAAAATCATATTTTTCTTCTTCTTTTTTCTCCTAAGAAATTTAGGTATTACAATTTCCCCCAAGTTGTATACAGTTCTAGGCACTTTGAGTTAGGTTGAGATAAACACTGTCTATGCACATTCGAAAGCAAATCCCACTGTGCTCAAGGGGGCGGGGGAAGGGACAACAAAATATATACTCATAGCTAGCCTACTTCAATTAATGTTAATAGAAATTAAGTGCAGCTTTGGGATTGACCGTTGCTTATACAATGAGACACACTACTGAAGTCTGAAGGGATTTCTAGTCAGGTTCTCTGAATGTAGCACTCCATTCTACATAACAGTAATCCCTAACATATGTAACGTAGCAGACTTGTTTTCTCCTATGTGTCCAAGGGATCATTATTTTATTTGTACCTAATGATTATAATTCTTCCTTCTTTCCTCTCTTAGAATTAAACAGAGACCGGGAACCGATAGTTCCTGGACCTGAACTTTTTGTAGGACTGCTTCACAACAAATTTGATATAAAATATCACTTTAAAAACAATAGGAATCTGCTGCAATTTAATGAAGTACAGTTTATCTGTCACAAAGGAAAGGAATTTAAAATACTTATGCATGTCAACCAACGAGCCAACAAGACAAAATATATGAAGATATGCTTAAAAGTCACAGTACAAAGTTTAAATCAAGTTGCCAGCTGGGTCTAACGTGAATAAAACAGGTAACTATATCATTGGATTGTCTTCAGAATTAAAGAAAGAAAATGCTAATGAAGGTAAGAGTCAATGGGAACATCTTTAATCATAGTGAGTAGAAATTCTAAATTTGTAGACATTGGCATGTGTGTGTATGTGTATAATCTCTCTCAGGTATCTGATATCTGTATAGGTAACAGAAACTACTATACTCTTAAACATTCAATATAAAAAAGAGGAGCTGAAACATACATTTTTGAGACCCGTACATATTTTATGTGCTGTAGAAAAAAACAAATTTGTGGATAATTCGTGATTACATAAAATATTAACTTCATAAATATCTCCTTTCCCCCCAAATTAGGACATTTTAAAAGATGGTGTTGTACGTCGAAACAGGACAACAATGACTTTTTTAATACTCCGTGGGTTTGGAAATCTACAAGAACTTCAATTTCTTATCTTTCTGATGTTTTTAGGAATATATGTCTTAACAATAATTGGGAATTCTTTCATTTTAGTAGCTGTCTTCTTTAATAGGAGACTCCACACCCCAATGTATTTTTTTCTCAGCAACTTGTCATTCCTGGACATATGGTATACTTCAAACATCACCCCTAGGATGCTGGCCGATTTATTGAGAAAGGAGAAATTCATTTCAGTTACAGGTTGCATGATACAGTTGTATGTTTTCTGTGCCCTTGGAACTGTTGAATGTTTTCTTCTACTGCTTATGTCCTATGATCGCTATCTTGCCATCTGTAACCCACTTCACTATACCAAGTTGATGAATTGGAACATTTGCTTTAAATTAATTGTCTGTACATGGTTATGGGGCTTCTTCTCAGCTGCTGTTTTGAATTTGATTGTATCCTCATCTTTAACACTTTGTGGTCCTAATCATATTGATCATTTCTTTTGTGACTTGACACCCTTGTTGAAATTGTCTTGTTCTGACATCCACCTGGCAGAAGTAGCCATCTTGGTAGCATGTTTTGCAGTGTCCTTGTGTCCTTTCATCTTGACCATCACATCATATGTCTGTATTATATTGTCTGTTTTCAAAATACCATCTTCCTCTGGAAAAAAGAAAGCCTTTTCCACTTGTAGTTCTCATCTTATTGTGGTAAGTACTTTCTATGGAACACTAGGAATTACATATGCAGTCTCTACGGGGACAGAATCAGTAGAATTAAACAAAATATTTTCCTTACTATATACTGTCCTGACTCCCATGTTTAATCCAATCATATATAGCTTGAGGAATAAGGAGGTTAAGGAAACTCTGAGTAAACTACTTAACAATATTTCAGCTACCATACACGAGTCCTATACAATTCCAAATTATTAAATTGTCATCCTGTCTAAAAATTTGTTCAGCTGGAATTTTTTGTGAGCAAGTTCTGACATACAAAAATTAATTCTTCATCAGCAATAAATTCTAATATTGAACCTGACACTCAGAATGGAGGAACCGAAATGTTCTTTGTTACTACTATACTGAGTTCGGTGAAATAATCAGGAAATTCTTTGTAATAGGAGATTATTAGAAATAGGTTCAGGCTTCTGATGGAATGCAACAAGTCACATTAGAAGGACGTTTTGTTTTAAATAACCCCAAATTTGCCATTTATTTTATGGTTTACTTATTTTTAATCTCCATGGATATGAAGAATTTGTTGTTTTGCCCTATTTAACTATTATAAATATGATTACTTTAATATTTTTAAGTATTGAACATTGTGTTTGTGTTGTTGCTTTTAATTGTGACTATATATATCACTATCCTTTGTATATATCACTGCTTTTTTATTGTTTAATTATTGCATGCTGCTCTGAAAGATTTAGTGATAAAATGACTAATAAGTGGTATGAATGCATTCATTTTATTTTATGGGTATGCTAACTGAAAAAATCCATTATCTCTTACTTTTTTTATAATTAGCAGTATGCTACTGAATTTGATTCTTTGTATGATTTATTTTGTTGTTTTAATATCTAAGAAATAAATATCCATGCAATGTTTAATTATGGTTTATATAGACTGGAATTCGGGAGTCTTTTGCTCAATTTGTAGATTCATTAATGATGTTGCTTAAATAAAGGAAGTGGAATTATCGTGCATGCATATGTCTCCCCTGTTGTGTTCTATGGTCTTCATAACATAGACAGAACTGTATTTCATAAAGTTGCTTTCTTCATGAGGAGATCTACAGAAACACATAAAGTGGGGATAGGCCCAGCATACTTGTGTGTGCATATGTGCCTTCAATCACCTGTTCATTTATAGTGACTCCATGCATTCTATAAGATTTGCTTATGTAAGGAATACTCAGAGGTAATTTGGTCAGCTCTTTCTTCTTTTTCTCTGTTTTAGACCACTTAAGTAATAAATACTGTCATAGGATTTGGCTTGTGGCAACTGATAACTTCTGTGTCTCTAGATGGTGAATGTAGGACCCTTCCAGACAGGCCTTTAATTCAAGACTTGTCTCATTTTTACCAGAGGCATCCAACTGACACCTCCAGTAAAAGTGAATTAATATGAAGTAAATCAGATTTTACAAGTTTGCTCCACATTAACTGAACACCTCGACGAATCTGGACCTTACTGAAAACCCAAGTTTGTTGGGATGTTGGGCTTGTGGGGACCAACTCCTGGGACTGCTTCCTCAATCTTGGAATTCAGTCCCCATTGCTATCATGCTTCTTTGGCCTCCTAAAAGTGCCCACCTCCAGTTCCCCATTTGGGCTCCAAAACATACCAGAGAGGCTTGCTAGCAGCACAGACCTCTTCCTACTGTCCTCCTGGTGTGAGTAAATGATGCATCAGAAGTTGCAGGGGGTGAGGAGGGATTTCAGGGTGGCTTCATGTCATCCTGATTTGACTCGGGATGGCATGTAGACACTCTCCCCTAGGGAAAGCCAGGGTTTAAGTTGGGAGTAAGGACTAGAACTGACATGGAAGCAAGGTATTTTAACCCATTTCCACATGGGTTTTAGCTACGTCTGGAAGCACCCGTAGTCCACATTGTATTTAATGGAATGTGTCTAGAAGTTGAAGCCATGCAGTCTGATTTCAGACATTAGGCTGTTGAATCCCCAATGGGACTGGTCCTCCAACAACTTGTGAGACCACTGTAGAAGTATGCCTCCTACTGCCCTCCTAGAGAAAAATCCCACAAAAATAAACTGTATAAGGGCATGATTTGAGCCTAATGGTTAGGTTGTTGAAATCTCCCTTAAAATCAGACCATCCTCCATATGTCCACTGGCGAAAAAATTAGATTCATATGTTGGAACAATGATGTGGTGAGGCTCATGTCCTGAGCCAACCCCATAAAAACAGCCTGAGTGTATATGTTGAAATCCCCCCACCCAAAAAAAATTGCAGTCCTAGGGTTTTTCAACACAACCTCCAAGATCACCTGAACCAGGGAGGTAGATGGCTGGGCAGCAGGGTGTGCACAGTACACTAGCAACATCACTGTTCTGTCTTTCTAGCCCAACACAAGGTAATTGGTTTGTGCTGCCATCACCCTTTCCCTGCACAGAGAAAAGGGAGTGGGTCATGCAAATGATAAAGATAACACAATTCCGAGGAGTAGTCCAAAACATCTGGAGAACAAACATATTGACACACTATTTTACTCCTTTACTCCATAGGTCTGAATTTACCATTCCTTGTCTACCCTTTAAAGTGCAAAATAATTTCATTACTTTAATTGGCAACAATTTGCTGTATAAAATGCAGATATAAAAGCCAAAGCAAAGGGTAAAATTACTGCTTTGCTTTGGCCTTAATTGATCCTATGCAAGAAGGAGGATTGAGGCCTCTGGGTAAAACAAAAATAAACATTTCTATGTTGTCAGTATTTTTGTAATTTAACCCATACTTTTGCAATAATTCACAATGCATAATTTTACAATATATAAGTTTATATTTTCAGTCACACTTATTGTTAGTGTGCCTTGGCAAAAATAGAAATGCAGTTTTATACATATATATATATATATACATACTCATATTATTGGGGTTTTTTTCATCACAGGTATTCTTGCAAAAAAAAAGGAAAAAGGGGGGAAAAGAATAATAAAAGATAATGGATTCATATTACAATGGCATTTATCTCCCTATATCAAATATAATATTGAAGCTTAAGCTGTATAACTCAAGTGCACATTTTTTTGTCTTCATTAAGTTGTACACATTGATTTTTTAGAACACCTTTATTTCAAATAATAAAATGGAGTAAAATCATGTTTTATATTTGTGAGTATGTGTGTGTACTTATATGTGGAGAGTGGTTCAACATTCCTGGACTTTCTGTTCCAGTACTGAACAAAATGTATTCAACTGAAAAAGTACTGTTTTTGCTTGCACACATGTATTATTGCTTCATTGAGTTCTACCCACTCAGCAAAAGCTTTATATATATATTGGCTTGTTGTATCTACAAATATATCAAGGTCAAACGTACACAATCTGTCTTTTAAAAAGGGATATCCCAGGTTAGCTTGAGCTAGATCCAGTGTGTGGAATTGACTTCCCAAATGCAGGTCAGAAATGCTACTTTGGGAGTTAGAATTTTTTGTGACTAAAAGATACAGAATAAATTGTGAGATGTAAATTTTAATTCATATACCTAGACAAGAGCAGAGCTAGCCAGCAAAATTTTTCTCAGTTCCCTTCTACACTGCCATATAAAATTCAGATTATTTGCTTTGAACTGGATTATATGGCAATATAAATTCACAGAATCCCTGGTGGCACAGCAGGTTAAACTGCTGAGCTGCTGAACTTGCTGACCGAAAGGTTGGTGGTTCGAATCCAGGGAGCGGGGTGAGCTCCTGCTGTTAACCCCAGCTTCTAGCAGTTCAAAAACATACAAATGTAAGTAGATCAATAGGTACCACTTTGGTGGAAGGTAACAGCACTCCATATAGTCAAGCCTGTCACAGGACTTTGGAGGCATCTATGGACAACGTTGGCTCTTCAGCTTAGAAATGGAGATGAGCACCACCCCCCTGAGTTGGACACGACTAAACTTAATGTCAAGGGGAAACCAATACCTTTTTATAGACTCACATAATCCAATTCAAAGCAGAACATTTGGATTATCTGCTTTGATAATCTGGATTATATGGCAATGTAGATCCAGCTAAAGTGACCACTTTTTCTTTGCAATCAAAGAACATATTTGGAAAGGAGTATGTCGCCATATTTAAATGGTTCTTTACAAGCCCATAGCCAGGATTTTGATGGGAGGGGGGGGCTGAGTTTGATTGGGGGGGGGGGCTGAGTCTGAGTGAAAGAGGGTCTACCCTAGCAAACCTTTTGTATCGTTACCCCAATACCCCCATGCATATGGGATATATTGAGCATGGTGATCAGATCATGATATGAATAAACATAACAGTTTAAATAATGTACCAGTAAGGCCTTTCTGCAGACCACCATGAGAATTTCAGGGGTCCCGGCTACATGCCTGGTTCTTTAGGATGAGGAGGAGGGTAATAAAGAGAGGGTGTGAAAATGGAAGTTCAATAGGATATGGAGTGATATTGGTACTTGGCTATTTGGCTTATGCCAGTTACTTAGTACTGTAAGCATAGCTGTGGTAAATACTGTCATTCCTCCATTATATTAATATAATCTGCAAGGGCTACATGGACATCATGTGTTCTGCATGGCTCCAATATGACAATGCCCACCATATGGGGGCTTTGATGAAGCTGATGGGAGGGTCTGATTTGTATGATTGTGGCCCATTTCCAATTGTGAGCAGCTGTCCCAGCTGCTCAAACTGCAGATTACGACTCCTGCTGAACCACAGTGAATCATTTCATAGTACTACCCATTGCTTTTTAATGGGGCAGGAGGTTTAACTCTATCTCTTATATCGGGAGTTTAGGACTCAGGGCTTCCCATCATTTTTACCACTGTTAGAGTGAGTGTGCCATCCCTTCACAGACTATCCCAAAATAAAGGAACGGGATTGAACAGGTCTTGAAATGTGAAGGGTAAAATCCTAGAAAGAGGGGTTGAAATCATTTAAATTGCCAGAATTAGACACTTGGCTAGCCAATAGGGCAGATACATTTTTAAGATTTACAATCAAATTTCACTATCTATTCGAAGGCGTGACATGCTCCTACAGAGTACAGAACTTGTAATCTATGGATAGGGCAATGTTCTAGAGGCATTATTTCCTGACGTTTCACCTGCATCTAAGGCAAGCACCCTCAGAGGTTGTGAGGTCACAACCTTTGAGGATGCTTGCCATAGATGCAGGTGAAACATCAGGAGAGAATGCCTCTAGAACATGGCCATATAGCCCGAAAAAACCTACAACAACCCAATGATCCCAGCCATGAAAGCCTTCGACAATACATTGAAGCGGGTACCATTTCTTTGCCTGCTTTTCAAGCCATGTGGTGCTCCTCCCACAGCCGAGAATTGCTGAGTGTTATTTCCCTCTGAGCCCTGCTTGTTGGGCCAATTGGAGTAGAAGAACAACATTCACCTCACCTGCTGTCTGCTGAGCCTCATCTTCAGCTGCTGGTTTTCTCTGCAGATCGAGGGGAAACCACCACAGCAATAGTGCTATCTTAAGCCCTGTCTTTAAACCCAGTTCTCTTTTGCACACAGAAGGGAAAGCATCTCAGGAGAAGTGGTATCTTAAGTAAATCTGATGCTTTTAATCTGGGTTATAATGAAGGATATAAGGACAAACCATGCCATTGTCAAAAATGATGGGAACGGGAAGGGACCCCCCCCCTCCCATTGCCACCAGTTAAAGAAGAAGTGAAATAGTTTGACATTTGGTAGGAAGGAATGGTGCCCTGCCCTGCCTCCCTCCTGCTGCTGCTCCTTGAGAAGTTAGGGAGGGGGGGGGGGAGAGGGAATGTTTTTAAGGATATTTTATTTATAGAAAGAAAATAAATCCCTAAAAATCAGGGGATGACTCAAAAGTTATAAAACTTGGTGGGATAAAAGTGGTAGATGTGCCCTCCATGTGTGGCAATTTTCACCTCTCTAACTCTAAAACAGAGGGGAAGAGGAACCCTAGGAAGCCTGCACATAGTGGCCAATGGGTCAAAATTTTCATTTTTTCAATGTGGAACAAAAACGCCCATTTGGAAAGGCACCTGTTTTCAGGAGGTGTGTGAAAACAAATACGAGGTGCTTACAAATGAAACACAGAAACAGATATCAATTCTACACAAATGTACAAGACTATAAAACAGGGGCACTTTATGATGCTAGTAGTTTAGGTGTTGAAACAGACACAGCTTGAAGGTTTGAAGGGTTATTTAGATGCTTTTACATCTTAATGCAAGATTATGTTTCATGAAGTGTCATAGTTATTCAGTGATTTGAACTTTGTAAACTGCTTGCTCCCAACCAGTCTTTACTGCATTGATGTTACAATGCTTTGCAAAATGTCAGAGTCTTCTGTGTGTAACAGTGGAAATACGATGAAAATGTAGGTCTTTGAAAATGATAAGAAAAAAGTGCTATATTCTTAATGAAAATGATTTTATCATGAATTAAAGTGTTTGGTGTTAACTTTTCATTTTGCACATCCTGATTTTCTCTCCATCTTCTGTTCTTTTCACAACTTCTTATGAAGAGGATATAATCATTATTCTCATTCCATCACTACTGAGTACTCCGTAGATCATCGAGGCCAGCTGCTTTGCCATTTTTACATTTATTGAGAGCCATGTCCAATTCAGTAGATGTAAAGGGTTCATGAAGGTTGTTCTCATCTCTGGTTGTCTGGCTATTGGTTTCTTTCCTACTTTGGTGGCAAGGTTGGGTTTCCCATTCTTCAGGAGTTGGTGTGCTATCTGATCTGCCTGTTGGCTCTGTTATTGCAGTTAGGCCTGGGTAACAACGGAAAAATTTGTTTCTAAAATCGATTCGTTTTTTGGGGGTTTTTGCGTTTCGTTATTTAAAATAATTACAAAATTTTCCTTTTAAAAAGTTCGATATTTACGAAATTTCGTAAATGTGAAAAAAATTACAAAACATTAACGAATAGATTTCTGAAACAATAACGAATCGATTCGTTAATGGCGGACGCGACCGCGAAATACGCTAAAAAACCTCCAAAAACTTCTGAAGCTTCCCTCTCCCTCTGTTGTTGACTGTTGGTGTGATATTATAATTTTTTTTCACTAATTAAACAAAAAACTTGCCCCAGACATGCGGAAATAATAACGAAACGACCTCAGACCAATAACGAAACGAATACAATAACGAAATACGAAGCATTTACAAAACGTGTTTAAAAATTCGTTTTTTTAAAAAATTGCTCCAGAATGGTTCGTTATCGTTTTGTAATTAAAAAAATTAACGAATTATTAACGAATTATGAATTAACGAAACGAAACCGCCCAGCCCTAAATAGTTTGTGAGGGGTCATTGCTCAACCGTCTCAGCAGCCTCCACGCCTTCTGGCTGCTCCTGCCCATGTCGACCTCTGTGATCAGCTTGATCCACTGTTCTTTCTTGGCTTCAGAGATGGAGGACAAAATGCTCTGCGCTGCCTGAAGGGTTTGCTCACTAAATGGGTCTTCTTGCAGCAACACCAGAAGTACTCCAAGTGGCCAGATACTGGTCAAAGGACATTTAATCAACTACCAAACTCACAAATTTTGTATTCTGTCTGTTTGTTTGCTTTGTTCTGTTAGAAATGTAATATAATCGACTGGTTGCCCTGACACGATAAATAAATAAATCCTGAGTACTCCTTAGTATTTATAAGGGAGGTATAAAAATAAGATAGGCAGAGCAGCCTGATCACAGTTTTCTGTTTTTATTCACATCAACCTACATGACAGTCCACATTTTGTAATCTTGCACATTTATTCAGTCCCAAATAGAAACACAACAAAGCCGCACTCACAAATTGTAAAGATGGACACTGAGCTGATGATTTTTTGGTACTTGGACTTAGGCTGGATTTACAGGGCCACATATCCCAGGATTTGATCTTCTTATCCCAGATTATTTGACAGTGTAGATTTATATAATCCAGTTCAAATCAGATAATTTGGGATCAAATCTATAGGGCAGTGTAGATCCAGCCTAAGGCCCCTTCTACACTGGATTATATGGCAGTGTAGACTCCAGTTGAAAGCAGACAATGTGGATTATTTACTTAGATAATCTGGATTATATGGCAGTGTAGAAGGGGCTTTAGAACGCTAAATGGATTAATGTGTGAATAGTTGTATTAAATATCATTGGGAAAATGTATTTAACCTGTTTCTCAACATGGATTTTTCAAACACCAGGAGTAAAAGAATATCTAAAATATTTCACAAAGAGATGAAAACTTGAATTTCCTTAAAGACAGAAAGCCCTGACCAGTGTCCCATATTCACATCACCCTACATGACAGACCAGTTTAAGATTTATTGTATAAAGGGAATGCATGTGTGCAATATTTCTTACTTAGGAAAATAATGCATTTCTTCACAGTAAATGTCATTTTTTTTCTGCCTTCCTAAGAACTGCAGGGTTTTATTCTCTCTACTTCAAGACAATCTCCAAAAAATTGCAATTTCTGAGGACTGCCTTGAAGCAGAGAAAAAAAATTAAATTATCTTAATTATGAAAACAAAAACACAGTTTTACATCCCTAAAATGCAAGTCATGCTAGCCTATATGTCTTCCTTTTTTGCAGATATAGTTATAAGCTTGGCAGATCAATCAAGATATTGTCATGGGAAGTTGAATCTGTTGACTGCTGCAGTGTTTTCATGCATTTCCTATTTAACTGCACAACTAAAAACAGCATGACTAAGTTTATCTTGGAACTTTTTATTTTCAATACTGATTTTCATGATTGTTTAAAATCATCTGGCACATGTTTTGCGAAAATAAAAATGCAACAAACGTCTCAAGACATCCTTCACTTCTTTGTTTCTTAGTGGATAGATGAAAGGATTCAACAATGGAACCACAATGAGGGTGAAGACGTTCACTATTTTGTTGGTTTCTAAAGATTGGTGTTAGGTTTGGCAAATAGAAAGGTGGTGGAGCCATACCAAATAATCAGAACAACAAGATGGGAGGAACATGTGGAAAAGGCCTTTTGTTGACCTTTGGTGTTAGGAATGTGCAGGATGGTAGAGATAATGTACATGTAGGAAATGAAGGATACTGAGCAGGAGCTCAAAATCACAATGAGCGCTATGACAAAAGCTGTTCTCTCAATGACGTAAGTGTCACTGCAGGATAGAACTAACCAGGAGTCAATGTTGCAATAGAAATTATTAATCACATTGGTTCCACAGAAGGACACAGTTGTGACCAAGTAAGTTAGTATAGAAATGGCAAGGAATCCACCCAGCCAAGAGCCAAATGCCAATGTGCTACATAGTTTAGTGTCCATTATGATGTTATAGTGTAGAGGGGAAGATATGGCCAAGTATCGATCATATGCCATGGCAGACAGCATGAAGTGTTCAGTGCTTCCAAGAGAAAAGATAAAATACATCTGCGTAACACATGCAGTGAAAGAGATGCTTCTACTCTTCCCAAGAAAGATGGCAAGAATTTTGGGGATGGGGGCTGTGGTGTACCATATCTCGAGGAAAGAAAGGTTGCAAAGAAAGAAATACATGGGAGTATGGAGACAGCATACTCCCATGTTATTACTAGAAGAATAATGGCCATATTCCCCAAAAGTATCAGAAGGTACATGATGAGAAAGAGCATGAAATTGGACATCTGTAAACTTTGAGGTCCAGGGAAACCGAGAAGAATGAATTCTGTCACTCTTGTGTCATTGTGTCCTTCTTGCTGGTCCTCTCTCATCTGTGTTCTGCTAAAACAAATGCTGCAGTAAGACCAAATAGGTTCCAAACAAAACAAAACAAAGCCCCTTGCTGAAATTTCACAAATCCTCCCCTTCCCATTATGAACATAGAGTAAAGCAAACATACTAAAACCAACTGGCTTTTTGATATTATTTTTTTTCTCAGAAAGACCTATTTTTTTGTATAAAAAGAGCTATATTTTGTATTATTTGTGCATAATGAATTCCAAATTGTTAACAGTGGGGAGAAGTACTCAAAATTCAGCTCAAGCCAAAGTTGTTCCAAGGTGCACCTACAGTGTAGAAGTAATGCAGTTTCATATCACTTTAATTGTCATGGCCCAATACTATGAAATTATGGGATTTGTAGTTTCATGAAGCATAAAGACTCTGTGGCAAAGAAAACCAAATACCTCATAGAATTAAAATTCTTATGATTCCAAAGCATTGAGCCATTTCAGTTAAAGTGGTGTCAAACTGCATTAATTCTATACTGTAGATGGATCCATAAAGTACAATTCAAATTCAGGCTTTTAATAGGCCAGTAACCAGTTTGTCACATATAACAAAGCAGTTACTGTAAGTCCCAAATAACATGTAAATATAAAGACTATAATTCAACATAACATTAGACTTTCTTAGAAGATACTCATTTAAAAGAACAAAAACATTTTTTCACACGTCATGTAAGTTCCATTGAATTAAGTTTGTCTACTCCAGGTTTTTGGATTTAGTCATATTAATTATTTGCATGTACAGTTAAATAAATAAATAGGTCTCAAATTATCCAACAGTTTCTGAACTGTTAATTTGATTGTTTCCAATGAGAATGAAGTATAAGTTCAACAGAAAATTTCAAACAACAGCTTAGGTTCTATTCACAGTAATGCAAAAATAAGAGTTCATTTTATGGTTTTTATCAAATTCAGTTTGAACTCTGTATGCCTCTAAAACCACTATTATTTATACATGCTTGGATTCAGAGTTGGAAGGACAGAACTCAGATCAATACCATTCTCTTATCCTGGATTTTCAGTGCAACTGAGGGTCCTTCTACACAAGCCCAAATCCAAAGAGGAAGCGGGATTTTATATTTATTTATTGTTTATTTACTTACTTCATTTCTACCCTGCCTTTCTCGACCCGAGAGGGGACTCAAGGCAGCTTACAAATCCGGCAGAAATTCAATGCCACACAAGTAACAATAAAACACATCTCATGAAAATATAAACAATCTAAGCATATAAACAATTAAAATTCATACCAATCTATCAAACAGATTAAAAACGACATATAAACTGCCAAGTCATGGTCTCATATCCAGACTTATATTCCAGTTCCTCTCAGGATTGTAACCACATGGCTGGCTGAAACCCTGTGCTTTTGAAGGGGGGGGGGGATAGCTACATGCCCTCCCAGGTCAACCCAAGAGGGCATCAAGCTAACCCCAACTCCACAATTTGCTCCCTAAACTCACCGGATAAGCCCGGCTGCATACTCAGCCCCCCCCCCCTTCAAAGCTTCTGATGTATTAAAATGATGCATTAGAGGTTTGGAGAGGGTAGCCCCCACCCCAATTCTCCTGATGTGTCATTTTGATGTATCAGAAGCTTCCTTGAAGGGTCTGGGCATGCAGCCATTCGCCTCCAGAAGGTTTAGGGGGGAAGTGAGGGCTGGAAGGCTTTGGGTGCCATCCCTCTCCTTCTGGCTTTAAGAGCCCGAATAACCAGGATGGCAATGGGGATTGAGCCCCAGGAACATGGAACACAATCCCAGGAGTCAATCTCCACAAGACCAGCACCTCAACAGATCCGGACCTTTCTTGAAGATGCTAGCTACAGATGCAGGTGAAACGTTAAGAGAAAATGTTGCTAGAACACGGCCGTACAACCACACAACACTCCAGTGAATCTGGCCATGAAAGCCTTTGACAATACAGAAAACAACTTCAATATATGCTTCAGCCCAACAGAGTGTTCTGTGGAATCTGAAATCTGCCAAAGTTATAATTATTATCCTTCATCAGACAAATTGGTCTTAGTAAAAAAAAACTCAGATAAAAATATTGCAATGTTTTTAATCTAATGTTAATAATAAAGTTAAGTCACTTACATGCTATCTGCATTCATTTGGAATCATTTGTTGGCAATACTTTTCCAGTTGACATAGTTATCCTTCCATTTATTCTATTTTATGTGCTCTTTGGCTATCTCAGGTTTCAAACATTTTGATTAAAATATCTTATTTTTATTCATGTTTCATAAAGCCTAATGCAGAAAACTGAAATGGAGGTGCTTGATTTATTTCATCATAACAAATATTCCCTAATGGTATCATCTCTGAAGAATTTCTCTTATGAAGTTATTGTTGTGGTATGCGGAAGTTTCCAAGGGCATTCCTTTTTAAAAAAAATAGCAACAACTTAGTTATGATCCTAAGTGACCCTATAAATGAGACATCTCTAAAGGCTATAGTCATCAAGAGACCTGCATATTCAGGACCATGATTTTCTTTGTTGAGTAAATATTGTCTTCTCTATTTCTTAAATTACATATGATGTCTTGACACCAGTGTTGCAGTGGCCTTGAATATGATGATGGATGGATATCTGTCAGCAGTGTTTTGATTATGTTTTCCTTTATGGCAGGGGATTGACTTTTGGTCTCTTTTAACTCTATGTTCCTATGATTCTAAGATGTACATCTGGTTGGAAGATATTATTAACATTTTAGGGCAATCATTACACTGTTTTGGTGTGGATATATTTATTTTTAATGAAATAAACGAGGGTCCTTGTTCTCTTTTCTTTCTTTCATTGTAAAGAATCCTTCGTCATCACGTCAAGTAATAATCTTTTAAACAGTCTTGTTCTGCTCTTGAAGCAGAATTCACATGGGAATGATACAACAGGAACAGAGTTTCATTTTTTCCTGAGTAGTATTCTTGGGGGAAATCACAGCTGCCTTCTTAGTTATACTAAGAATGCCCCAGGATCAGTGTTATATCATCACTCCATCACTGCACACAAGAGGGCACTAAACACAGGTGAGATTGTTCCAATAATTACAGAATCATTCTACCCTTATAGTTATTATTAGGTTCTCTCTTCTTGATATCATCAAAAAAAACCCACCTCCTGGTGAGAACATCAAGTATAAGAAAGCTGTGTATTGTATGTGCTTGTGAATAACAGCATTTGACTGGAATGTCTTATGTATGCATCTTTTGTACAGATGCAAAGATACCTTCTGCAAAGGGGAAGCATAACACTTTTTGCACTTGTGCATCCCATATTATATTTGTTTCCATGTGTTATCCCACTACTATATTCGTGTATGCTCAAGGCCACTGGTCTGAATGATTTGTTTCCTTGGGGCAAAAACAATTAATTCTGTATGGAAGCAAAAGTAGAAGAGGATGGCAGTGAAGAAGAAGGAGAGCATGTTACTATCATTACACATTTCTTAGAGTAATTGTTTCTAGAGTTGGAAGAAAGCATGCAGGAATATGCAATTAAAACACTCCTGACTATCAAGTCTCTTTTTTAGCAGCTCCAAAGAAGGTTGGTAGACAGCTTGTAGCCCCGAAAGCTCTTGTGGCTCTCAATTTAATCTTAAGTTGTCTATAAATGCCCATTCAAAAGACTTCTAAAGGAAAATCTATTTAGATTTGGTAAAAGCAATCTGTTGCAAGTCATGGGATGAAGAAGTGGGAGAGAGGAAGATAGAGATGAGAGGTGACAGAGGAATGAGATAAAGGAAGGAATATGCAAACCAGCCTCTTATGATAATTTAATATTCTAGTGTTGATTTTCTTTTTTTTAAGAAACATGCTTTGTGTTTTCTTTTTTCCAGAGAAAGCATCAGTGAGCATGCAGGGAAATGTGGAACCAAACATCCCACGTTGAATTCATAATTGTGGGTTTTTCTGAACTTCCACAGCATCAGTTAGTATTGTTTGTCTTATTCTGCTTCATTTACCTCCTGACCCTGCTAGAAAATATCCTTCTCCTTGTGATTATTTTGAGTAACAAAAACCTTCGCACACCCATGTACTTTTTCCTAGGAAATCTTTCTCTTTTAGATGTCTTCTATGTATCAGTGACAATGCCCAAGTTGTTTTCCAATTTTTTATTGGGTGAAAAAACTATCACACTGAATGGCTGCATCACACAGTTGTATTTCTTCCAATCCTTGGGTTCCTCTGAATTCTTCCTCTTGGCAGCAATGGCCTATGACAGGTATGTAGCCATTTGTCATCCACTACATTATACCTCACTCCTGACTTATAGAGCTTGCATGATCCTGAGCCTTGGTTCTTGGTTTGGTGGTTTCCTTGCATCATTGCCATCTGTAGTGATGATATCCAACTTAGAGTTCTGCAGACAAAATAACATTAGACACTTCTTCTGTGATGTTTCGCCATTACTGCTGTTGTCATGCACTGACACTTCATTCATTGAACGGCTAGACTTCGTGGCAGCACTAGTAGTCTTCATGCCTTCATTGGGGATGACTGGAATGTCTTATGTATGCATCTTCTATACAGTTGCAAAGATATCTTCTGTAAAGGGGAAGTATAAAGCTTTTTGCACCTGTGCATCCCACCTCATAGTTGTTTCTATGCTCTATGCCACTACCATATTTGTGTATGCTCAACCAAAGGCCATTGCAACTTTTGATACCATGTTCATGTCCATTTTCTACATAACGGTGATCCCAGTTCTTAACCCAATTATCTACAGTCTTAGGAACAGAGAAGTGAGGCAAACTTTAAGCAGAGCCTTATGTTTTTTGGATGTTTTGAAATTGAAAGACTAATTTAACTAAAACATTGTAAAGATTAGTTCAGAAAACTATCTTTCCTAATGCCAAATGCAGCCTGAGGAATTGTGAAAAATAAATGTCTCTTAAACTGCATGAAGATGTTTACTTTAAAGTGTGCTGGTATTAGCTATTCCTTAAAGAAAATAATAAATATGGTGTGTTTAAACAAGCCACACTTGGCTGAATTTTCAATAACATTTGGATACCTTTATATAACGTGTTTTGACATATATGTCTCTTAGATGTAGCCTATTTATTTTCCATTACTACAAGCAACAGAGCTTGAGAAATCTTTTCAAATACTCATGAATGCTCTTATATGACTACATGTTTAAAACTAAATTAGAAAAATTATATCTGGAAATTTTTAAATTAATATTATGATGAAGAATGGTGGTGGTTTGACCTAAAAATCCCTATACAGCTTGATTATTTGAAGAATTGCAGCTTTCTTTATGAGACCATTAGAGCTCTAAGATCATCTAGAGAGAATCCTGTTTCTGTCCCATCAACATCTCAGCATCTTGTGGCATGCCATTTTTAATTTGTATTATTTTATATATGTTTTCAGTCAACTTGACTCCCCATATTGGATGAAAGAAGAATATGAGTGAATGGAATAATAAGAATTTGGTCAGGAGAACTGCAATAGCAATGCATTCTGTAAACAAGCAATGTTTATTGATAGCCAGGTGAACTGTGTTAAATAATATTATGAATGTAATGCAACTATGAATCTATTAGGTGACAATTAATTAATAAGCAAAATCACAGGCAAAAGAAAACTAATGAGATCTCACTAGTCCAGTACCCTATATGATACATTATAGAAACCCATAATGAGCAATTTAGAAAATTGTGTTCCTGTGAATAGTGTGCATATATTTTTGTTTATGAACTTCTTGAAATGTGAATTTACCTTTTACAGAAACAAAAAAGTATTTTAATGAAATGATGTCAAAACTCTGAATGAGTCTATGAAAGCTCATGTCACAAGCAATGTGCTGAGTCCTTAAGATGCCATGAGATTCTGAATTGCTTTTGCTGTTAAAGGATAGGATGGTGTTGTGTTTGTTTTTACAAACAGTTTACTTTTCTTATTGCCAAGCCCAAATATAAGTCTTAAGAAGATTATATTTTCTGTGGAGAAGACATCAGTATTTTCTGTTTGTATGTTTTTCCAATTGTGTACATGTTAGCAAATTCAATTTGCTTTGATAGAACAAATCAGAAATCTTTTAGAAATGCTTTTGATGTGATCCTATGTACATGGGTCAGACTTTGGGTCCTCTGATAATGTAACTAGTTCCTTGAATTTTTACTTCAGATTCCGATTAAAGAGAGCACCCGGAGGCATGGGGTGGGATGCCATCAGTATGCTGATAATATCCAAATGTTTTTCTCTATGCCTTCAAAAAATAACCTTGGCTAAGGATACTAATGGGTGAGGAGTGAGGATGGTTGGAAGAGGGGAGGAGTTTAGAGATTCCTAGGATTGGCCAGAGCAGTGGTGACGAGCCAAGTCTGAGGAGGGAAAGAAGGTAGCTTCAGTGAGAGTTGGAGCTGGGAGCTGGTGTGTGAAGGTGTAGAGTTGGAAACTGGGTTTGAGGGAGAGAGCTAGGAGAGAGAGTGTCTGTGTTAGACAGTGCTGTGAGCTGACAGGAAAAAGGTCAGACAGCAGTCTGATCTCTTGTGAGAGTTAGCACAAGAGATTAGCTCTCCAGACTGGGTTAGTTAACAGGAAGAACTCTAGGGTAGAGTTCGTTAATAACCCAGGGGCTACCTAGATAGGCTAGTCAGACTCATCACTATTCTCCGAAAGAGAGCGAGGGTTTTGTTACCAACAGTTAGTTCTGTTTGGTTAGCTCTGTCTGGAACAAAGTGAAGAGGACTGTTCACAAGAGATTAGCTCTCCAGACTGGGTTAGTTAACAGGAAGAACTCTAGGGTAGAGTTCGTGAATAACCCAGGGGCTACCTAGATACCAATCAAGCTGAAGTAGTTTTGTAACAAGTCACGCTTTTTGTACCTCTCAGGAGTGCTTAGTTGTCTATTTTAAAAATAAAACTTATTCTATTTGACTTTCAACAAAGTCTCTATGGTACATCATTCCATCATCAAGCCTTTGGGATAGTTCCAGCATTTTTAACACCCTGTTACTACGGAAAAGCCTCTCAACAAACAGCTGTTTGGCAGCCAGGGATAAAAGCAGGGTTGGCAGGAGTGAGTAAAGTTCACTCAAATATATTGTCGAAGGCTTTCATGGCTGGAATCACTAGGTTCTTGTGGGTTTTTTCGGGCTATATGGCCATGTTCTAGAGGCATTTTCTCCTGACGTTTCGCCTGGATCTATGGCAAGCATCCTCAGAGATAGTGAGGTCTGTTGGAATTAGGAAATGGGTTTATATATCTGTGGAATGACTGGGGTGGGGCAAGGAGCTCTTCTCTGCTGGAGCTAGGTGTGAATGTTTTAACAGAAACATGGCCATATAGCCCTTCACTCAAATAGTTTTTTTTAAAAAAAAAAATCCTAAAACACCTTAGGTTGGTTGCAGCTTTAATTCAAAGGAAAGTTTAAAGATGAGTAGTGTTCACTTCATCATAACACATATCCATCTACGTCTCGCTATCATATTGGAGGCACAGGGGTGGGATTTTTTTTTACGAAAGAAAACCCTCTGACATGATCCATCCTGCCCGGGCATAAGATTAATAAGCCTCCAGCCTTGCGTCTTTTGTTATAACATGCCTTCCTCTTGGCATATTTCTCCCTTTCTCCCTCCATTCATGCCTCTTTGAGTTCTGCAGCACTGCTGGTCACAGCTGACCTCCAGTTAGAGCACTCTCAGACCGGTGTCTATGCCACAGTTTTTGAGGTTTCCCGTCCACCAACATTCGGTTTCCTATTGTTGAGTTTGGAGTAGAGTAACTGCTTTGGGAGACAGTGATTAGGCATTCGGACATCATGGCCAGTTCAGCGGAGTTGATGGCATAGGAGCATATCATAACCATATTAAAGTCACCGCACTGGTTTCCACTTAGTTTCTGGCAAAGTACAAACTATGTAAGGGTTTTTACCAAACCCCTACATAGTTTGGCTCTAGGTTATCTACAGTACAATGAGCCACGGACACTGAGGTCCTCTGTGGGGCATTTACTCCAAACAGTCAGAACCTGAATGGCAAAAGTCATTGAGAGGACTTTTCATCAGCTGCTTTTAGACTGTGGAATGGCCTGGTGGGGAGATTTGATAACTAAATGAGCTGTCAGATTTAAAACATGACTAAAACCTCATCTCTTCTGGCAGGCCTACCCAGTCAATTTTAAACCATGTATTTAAAATTCGAATTCTGTTACTACTATATTTTAATCATTGTACTGTGTGCTTTAATATATGTAATTTATTGTATTTTATGTTGATATGTTTTGTTTGTGTTGTACCTGCCTCAAGCCATGAGATAACAAATAAAAAATGTTATTTATTTATCATGATGGTTCACACAACACATGTGCATTATATATTAAATGCAATATTAAATATACCTAGAATGTAATGTTAAACAGATCCACTAACTTAATTGGGATTTATGTCAGTGTTAAAGCAGTGCTATGAATTTAGTATAAGAAGTTCCATTGGATTTAACTCAACGGTCACATAATTCTGGATATCCCTTAAAAGTCTAAGAAGCATTCAAAGCCCAGAAAACTATGTGGGATAACATGTAAAAGAAGTCCAAAGTACTGATACAGCATGTTATAATGGAACAAGCCGGGAAGAGAAATGAATATTTTATTTATCTGTTGTTGAACCTATGTTTAACAATACTGGGCAAAATAAGTAACCTAAAGTTTAATTAGATCATTCTGGGTACAAACATTTGAGATTGTGTGTTAAAAATTAAACAGCTCCCCCTTTCTCTCCATATTTGTATATGATTTTGCTTCCAGTGGTATATAATCATGATAAAAATAAAAGTATCAAACATTAAAATCATTTCATTATGTTTCATTATCAATGAATCTTCAGTTGCAATTGCTTTCTTAAAAAATGTAACACATGTAATTAAACACAGGGGGCAGCTGCTTTGGGATTGAGAAGATGCGCCTTCCCATTGATTTTTTTAAAAAGTTATTGTTCTCTAATAACCCTTCAGAGAATATGCAATTAGAATTGTGATGATTAGGCCCATGGCGATCAATTCAACTTTACCCCTGTGGCCAAGAAATCTGGAGATTTTGATTAATCCCCTGATGTATGAAAGTTTTCATAACTCTAATAGGATCCACAAGGACTTGTTAGCAAACTTTGTTCAATGACAAAATGCTTCTCCAAGCAAAGGGTATATTTCATATGGTTTAAAAAATAGTTCAGTGGAATTATATTAAAATGATTTCTTTATGAAAAAATTGATTACTGGTTTTTGTGTAAGAGTTCCATTTTTAAAAATTCTATTGTGCATGTTTAAAAAGAATTACAAAGCAATATATTGAATACATCCTTTTACACACTTATACGGTGGATAGCATCCTCTACACATGGCTACCTGAATGGCTAAAATTAACCAGGAGCAACCAAATACCCTTTGTGACCTCAGGTTGAATAGTATATGGTGGCTTCCACTCTCCCAAATGTCACGGACTTTCAGTTAACTGGAATTCAAGTAGCCAGAATTCTCATGCAACCAGCAAAAACAAAAAAACAAAAAAACAAAGAAATTATGTTTTAAATTTTAAAAGCTGTTTTTATAATAAAGCAAAAACAGTAAAACTGTATCATATTAATTACTGTGTTTCAATGATAATGTCAAGTCAATACAGAGTTCTGATATGGTATAGTATATGGAATTTTATTAGGCCTATTTCTAATAGTAGTGTTCAAACAACCAGAAACTACATTTATCTGGCATCTATCAATCCTCATGGGTGCCGGTTAACTGAGAGGTCTAATAAGGTATTAGAATGAACGATATGGAGGGTCCGGTGTAGGGACTGATT